GTTGTTGGCAGGGGCTGAGAATGTCAACGTACCATCGGGTGAATACCTCTTCTACAGGTAGTGGACGAAGTGGTGCCTTCTTGCCATGGTAGTTCCTCTTGGTCTGTTGACATACCTCACATGTCTGGACATAAGTAGCAATATCGCTGTACATTTTGGGCCAGTAGTACTTAGGTCTCATGGTGTTGTGCATCCTTTCATTCCCATGGTGGCAACCGCCGAACTCTGAGTCATGGTAGGATTGGAGGACTTGATTCCTGAGGGTTCTTGGGACTGCCAGCTGTTTAATGAACTTGTCTGCATGGCCTTTCTGTCTTTGTGGAACGAATCTGTATAGGATGCCTTCATCAATTTCAAAAGTATTGGCTTCGATAAGAATCTTTTGACGATCCTTTTCATTTTGTGGTAGGACATCATCCTCTTTGTAGTCAAAGTTTTGGATGAAATCTGGACAAATCCTTTGTAGGTGACGTAAATTTGGATGTTCTTTTATACTTACTTCGACCAATGTGTCTTGAGTAACATCAGCATTTGTAGCATGTAATGCTGCAACAAGATTAACTGGTACTGACTGATAATCCTCTTCATATTCAAAGGTGACTGACCAATGTGTTGTCTGTGTGTCGGATTCTAACTGATTGACAATAGGTGTGCAAATATCCTCAGTCTGAGTTGTCTGTGTGACCTGTGTGGATGAATGTGTGTTTGGCAAGATTGTGGTACTGCTAGTTGATTTGCTTTGCTGAGTTGAAGTTACTGAGAAGACTCTCAGCATCTTCTTCTGTCTGATCATTACAGTTAATATTTTCCTCATATTCCCTACGTGAGAGAGCATCAGCATTCCCATTGGCTTTGCCGCTGCGGTGAACAATGTCAAAAGTGTAGGTAGAAAGTTCCAAAGACCATCATCCTAACCTACCTGTGGCATCCTTGATGGATTTCAGCCATTTCAATGCTATATGATCAGTGTAGACTGTGAATTTGGAATTTGCAAGGTATGGACGAAAGGATCTAATGGCTTCAACTAGAGCTAAGCCTTCCTTTTCTGTAATGCTCCAGTTCTTTTCGCTGCCATGAAGAGCTCTACCACCAAAAGCTATTGGATGTTCATTATTTTTCTCGTCTTTTTGACTCAAAACAAAACCTATGCTCATATCACTGGCATCAGTTGCAAGAAGAAATTCTTTGTCAAAATTTGGATACGCCAGAACAGGTGTATTACTCATAGCATGTTTGAGTGTGTTGAATGCCTGATCACACTCAAGTGACCATTGGAACTTTGGTTTCTTTCCTACTTCTGCCTCCGAATGCTTCTTTAGCAAGGCATTCAGTGGAAGCGCTATGTGAGCGTAATTTTTCACATACTTCCTGTAGAAGTTTGTGAGACCTAAGAAGGAGCGAATCTGCTTTTGTGACTTGGGCACTGGAAAGGTTCTAATTGCTTCAATGTTTTTGTCATCAACTTGAACACCTCCACATGATAAAACATGACCCAGAAAAGAAACTTTGTCCGTTGCAAAATTGCATTTGGATGGCTTTAGTGTTAATTTTGCCTGTTTCAGATAGTAAAATAATTGCTCCAAATGTTGGAGATGCTCTTCAAAGTTTTTGCTGTAAATTATCAAATCATCGATGTAAATCAGCGCAACCTTAAAAAGCAATTTTCTTCGCACTTTGCTCATGAGCTGTTGAAAACAAAGTGGAGAATTTGTCAAACCTTGGGGCAAGCGTTTGAATTGATAAAGGCCTTGATGGGTGACGAAAGCAGTTTTATGCTTTGAATCTTCATGTAATGGCACTTGGAAGAAGCCATTGGCAAGGTCTAAAGTTTAGAAGATCTTAGCATGTGCATTGGCGATGTTATCAACAACATCATCAAAAACAGGAAGAGGCCATGACATTGGTAAAGTGACAGAATTCAACTTTCTGTAGTCACAAACAAATCTATATGAGCCATCACGTTTCTTGACTAGGATAATGGGAGCTGAATACATAGAAGTAGACTCCTCGATTAAATCATACTTCAGAAAATCATCTATAAGTTCTTCGGTGACTTTTTGGAGATGAGGAGATTGGCTATATGGTCTACTCTTAACGGGTGGGTGGTTGCCAGTGTCAACGATATGTTGGTGCATGTCAGTCTTTCCTAAATCTGCAAGACTCGTTGAAAACATGTTTCTATTTTGTCCCAAAAATCTAAGTAGTCTGTGTCGTTGGTCTGGAGTCGTGTATTGGCCAAATCAAATCCTAACTCTTGTGCAATTGTAACATAATCCCTGGTGTCATTGTCTCTCTTCTCATTGTTTGTGTTAACGGTACTTATGAATGGTTGGTCAGAGTCGATTTCAAAAACAGAGTCTTTGTCAATGTAACTAAATTTGCCTACAACTGTACCCTTGTCAAGAACTTTTTCTTCTTGGGAGGGAATAATCTTGGACGCGACGTTAAACCCAATTTCACCTCACCTCATCTTGGGAGGGATTCATAAGCCTAAATGTAGCAGTCTTGCTTTTTGATTTAGAAAGAGTTCTACCGCCTGCTACTTCAGAATGAGCAGTGAGGGAAGCAATGGGTTCAATGAGGATGAGGGAATCCTCTTTGGTCTCTGATAGTCTAACCTTGAAATGAATTTCACTCTGAGGGGGGATGTAAATCTGATCTGTTGTTTTTGCTAATCCGCTAATCTCTTGCACTGAATTGGCTATGAAATTGATATATTGCCTTTCTGATGTGCTGTTGTTAAGTATCAAGGAATGACAGCTATAATCTAAGACTGCATCATTGTCATTAAGGAAGTTCTCACCTAGTATCACTGCCTTCGGCAGTGTAGGCAGTACATAGAATCTTTGAGAAAATTCCTGATCCTCAATGACAAAATCTAACACAACTGAACCTAACACTTTATGCAATTCGCCGCCAACACCTTTAACCTGTGGAAAGGGTGAGTTTCCAAGAGTAAGGTTTTCAAAAGCTGTGCTCAGAAAAGCAGACGAAATACAACAAATGGATGCCCCTGTATCTACTAAACAATTTGTTGTTTTTGTGCCAAATTTTGCCTGAATTACACTTTTGGCAAGGGGCGTAACTAAAGACACTGTTGGAATTTCACTTTCAAAGTTACTTTCCATACCAGACTCCATATTTGCCATGACACCTAGTACTACTAAATTAAAGTAAGACAAGTAATCAACAATGTAGTACTTACAATATTTGAAGACTTTTTCTTCCTTTGTTGGTGTTTTTGGAAGAGTTGGTTGTCTTTAATCCAGTGTTGAGGTCAGAGGTAGATGCAGCTTGCTTGTTATTCCATCAGATGATCACGGTTGGACATGTCCTCCAATGGGTTCTTGTAGGTGGTCGTAGTTAGTTCCTGGACTCAGTGGTTCCGGAAACGATGATTCTCCGCCAAATTATCATGGAACTGTTCTGGGTGAACAATACCTTCCAAATGATGTGCTGGTTTTCTTGGGGAATTAGTCAGCAAAGAACCAGAGTCGCAGGAGGCTAATCACAATTTTATTTACAAGAACAATTAACAATTTACAATTTATACTTAGATAATAACTGAGGGTGCCACAGAGAGTCGGGACAACACTCTGGGCTGTGGGAGAGAGGTCTGCTTGGTAAGAGAGTCAAACCCCTTCTCTGTTAAAACTTGGCTACAGTATGTATTTAACAAAAATTTGAACAATAAAAAGGAATGTGATTGGTTAATACACGATTGGTTGTGTCCTAAGCTAAATGGATGGCTAGACAGAGGGGAATACTAAATCCTGTTAATCCTGTTGGACTGGCACTAATCTTGTTGACATATTTACTGGATGCTTAGAAAGAGATTAGGGTGTCACTATAGATGAGCTTGTGTGGGGGCTAATCCTTAATGCCCTATAGACGAGCTTGTATGGGGGCTAATCCTTAATGCACTATAGACAAGCTTGTATGGGGGCTAATCCTTAATGAGTCTTAATTGAAGTAATGTTATTCTAATATACCCCGGTAGGTGATGACAGATATACTTAAATAAAATAGTTCCAGGTAATCTATAAGACTATGTAGACATATCCTTTGTCTGGGAGATGGGATCTTGACACCTTAGGCTAGCATTTATCTAAAAGCTTCTAATCTATTAAACTATGTAGACTTAACTCTTGTCTTATTGAATAGTATGTCTAGATGCGCTCCCATTACCTTAGGCTAGCATCTATCTAAAAAGCTATAACTGAAACTACTGATATTTTATGTATACATTTTACCTGATGATAAATATTACTTGCTAAACTATAATTATGTGAAATGATGTATAAATATTACACCATGATAACTCATAAAAGCACTTGATGTGGATCTAATTATTATAGGATAACTTAGTATAAATGTTATCCCATGATAACATTTTCACTACAAAAATATTCCCAAAATATTCATGATCCCTAACTTCTTTTGTTCAGTATATGTTGGGACCAAACCCACAAAGGTTCAAACCTCCAAGTCTGTGGGGGTGAGGTGAAAGTGGGTTTTAACATTGCTGTCATGCACTTATATAGTGATGTGCATGGTATGTATGCGTACAAGTCCGGAATAATGCTGGTTTAATAGTGCCAGCCCACTGAGATACCATGCGACAGTTTAACATTGGTATCCCTCGCAGACTCTGAGCTAACCAATCATTGTTTTATGCTCATAATGCCGGGCACTAGGCAGGGTAAAAACAAGTTCCGCCTTTTGATATCTTTTGGTATGGAGCAGCCAGGGGATTGAACCACCGACTTTCCGCTCTCTGGGAAGATGCTTTATCCACCAGACCACAGAGGCAGTCGAAAACTAACAAATGTATATTCAAAGGAAATAACCAACACACCAGGTGCTATTCAGAATACTAGCCAAGCAATAAAAAATATTATTATTAAACATTAATTTGCAGTACAGTTGCACAATAAATGATCTTTCATTTGTCAGTTGAAAATCCAATACATTATTTCAATTGAATTTTTCTCTTTTAGCTCCAGTTACCACATCAAAAGGTGCTGATCCCCGTGTATAGGGAAAAGACCAATGACAGCATGAGTGGGCGTAGTTCTGGACTAAACCTTGTCAATGAGGCAATGATGAAGGAGGTGGATCAGCTTAGCAGATCGAAACCAGTTGCCGCATTAGAGACCTTAAGTGCCAACAAGATGGCAGCCATCCCCAGTGTATCAAATGAGGGTGAAGATCTGCTGTCACCGCCTTCAGTGACAGAGGCACCTCCCACTGATGATGATGTACAAGAGGTTATTAAGACCCAAATCTATTTTAGATCTGATCTCCCTGATGGTTTAGTTGTGTCAGAGACCGTCACTGATGGAAGCATACGTGATGATGAGGGGGCGGGGATCAATAGGAATAGCAGCAAACCTGTACCAAAACCTAGAAGATTTTTAAGGCAAAATGAACCAAAGGAAGATGAATCTGGAGCATCTAAGGAGAGCAATGATGATCCATCAGAGGATAATTCAACACTACTTGGTCTTGGAGATACCAACAACCAACGGACTGCCACAGACATGGGCAGACAGCACACTTATGGAAGACCAAAGGGTGGAGTTTACACAGGAAAAGGTGGCAAGGAAAGACGGAGGTCTCAAACTGAAACCCGTGACAACGGACAAGACACAAAAGGGGGAAAAAGTTCCCGGACAAAGCAACAGACTAGTAGCGGAAGTCCTCCTGAGCAAATACCAAATGATAGAAGAGGTAGTGTGACCAGGACTAGAAAGGATCACTTGTCAGAAGGAACACATACCAAAGGTGTCTCACAAGAAAAAGAGAACAAACTAAATGACAATCAGAATGGCGAAAGAAGGAGAGCCCCCAAAAAGAAGAAACCAAAGGATGAGTTTGAGGGGTTCCTGAGAAATAATGTTGGGAAGCAGACTCCTGTGATTCTCTATGTTAGAATTGGGCAACTCCTCGATCAAAAGTATGATGTTAAAGGTTTTCTTTGTGCAAGAATGCAAAATGAACAAGATGACCAATCCAAAAGGTTCATGGTTGTGAAAAGTGAACGTGTTGGAAGTAACACTGTGATTTCAGTTGAAGCACCAAGTAAATCTGTGGCAAACAAAATTGGAAATTTACTGAAATTAAGTAACAGAGGATCTGAGACTAAGTTAGTCTGTACACTGGACAGGAACGAGGCCCTGGATCTGCCTACTAAGAGGGATGAAAGAGAATTTGAGAAACATCTCACAATCATTAAAAGAAGGGAAAACCAAGCCTTAAGCAATCATATGGATAAAATCAGTGTTACTTCCAAGAATATTGAGAGACTGTCATCAAACAAGCATGTAACTATTGATGAGTATGAGGCAAAACGGTATGAAAAAGATGCTCTGAAGGATAAATTAGAAGAGTTGAAACTGCAGAAGGAACAGTTTACAACATTTATGAAGAGTTTTGTGTCGAAACTTGTTTCACTATGGAAAAATAATACCTATGCTAAACACATTGAAGATCTACGGAGAGACTTTGGTGTCGAGCTTTGTAGACTCACTTCAGCATTGCCTATGTATGCAAGAAGAAATGATATAATCAGAACGGTACAGGACAACCAGGTTTGTGTTATATTAGGGGAGACTGGGTCAGGGAAGAGCACACAGATGACACAGTACCTTCATCAGGCTGGCTTCAGCGAAGATGGATTCATCGTGTGCACGCAACCCAGGAAAATTGCGGCCATAAGTCTGGCAACCCATGTTGCATCAGAGCTGGTGACAAATGTGGGCAATGTTGTGGGATATAAAGTTGGGATGCGATCTAAATGCGGAGGAGCTACAAAGATCTTGTACATGACTGATCACTGCCTTCTGAACGAATGTCTGAAAGATCCAACTCTGTCTGCTTACAGCTGTGTGATAGTTGATGAAGCACACGAGAGAAGCATCTACACTGACCTTCTCCTTGGAATGCTGAAGATGTGCCTGAAACAGCGCCCTAATCTCAGGGCGATCATTACATCAGCGACTATTGACCCTGAAGTCTTTGTCAGATATTTTGACGCGTGCCCAGTCTTGAGAGTATCTGGGAGAATGTTTCCTGTCGAAGTAGAGTACCAAACAGAAAATGATGGAGGCAAGTCTTTTGATAACTATCAGAGAGAAGCTGTCAACAAAGCTGTACAAGTCCACACAAAAGATCCACCAGGTGACATTCTGGTCTTTGTTACATCTCCTTTAGAGACCGAGAAATGCAGTGAAGATTTTAACAATAGACTCCAGGGAAGGACTGACTTCAAATGCCTGGTTCTTCATGGTCAGATTCAACCAGATGAGCAGCAGTTAGTATTTCAGGACACCCCTTCAGGAGTCAGAAAGATTGTCTTTGCCACAAACAGTGCAGAGACTTCAATCACCATTCCAGGTATCAAGTATGTTATCGATACTGGTCTTGCAAAAGAGAAACGTTATGATCCTCGGCGAAACATGAGCACATTGAGTGTAGTTCTTATCAGTCGCAGCTCAGCTGATCAGAGGAAAGGTCGTGCAGGAAGAACAGGCCCTGGGAAATGTTACAGGCTCTACAGTGAAGAGACGTATCATGAAATGGAAGCAGTCTCACTGCCAGAGTTATTGAAGGTTCACCTAGGACAGGCCATGTTGAAGCTGACGGAGCTTGGAATTAATCCGCTAGAGTATGAATTTGTTCAGTCACCAGGACCATCAGCAATAGCTACAGCTATGACTACACTTGAGGAACTCGGTGCAGTCAAAGACAATAAGATCACGGAAGAGGGGAAAGAACTAGCAAGGCTTCCTGTAGAACCTCGACTGGGACTAATAATCCAGAAAGGAAGATCTGAAGATGTTCTCTTTGATGCAGTTGTTCTTGCAGCTGTGAGCAATGTTGGAAGCTCAATATTCTTCAGAGGTGGAAGTGACGACAATAAGAAGAAAGCTGACAAGCTGAAGATACAATTCTGTCACAATGGTGGCGATAGTCTCACTTTGCTGAATGTATACAGAGAATGGAACAAAGAGCCTGAAAAGCAGAAAAACAAATGGTGCTTTGCAAACAGCCTAAATTCAAAAGCTCTGCGAATTGCCAGAGAAACTGTCAATGAGGTGATGACACTTTTGAAGAAGGAGGCAAAAGTGAAGGTCATGCATGATTTTAAAGACCCACAAGGAGCAGATGTGAAACTTCAGAAAATACTCTTTGACAGCTTCACCTCAAACATCTGTCATTCTCTCGGGCTTGCGAAGGCAGGGTATTATGCTCCGAGACTTGAGCAACAGGTTCATGCTCACCCCTCTTCAGTCCTGAATCCACTCAACTTGGTTCCTGAGTGGCTTGTCTTTGAGCAGTCCATGAAGACATCCAGAGACTTCATTACAGGACTGACGCCAGTGAATGAATCCTGGGTTGTTGAAGCCATTGAATCTGGACGTCTAAAGAGAGATCTCGAAGAGATGAGAAAGAAACAGCTTCTTCCTGTGCATGTTGAACATGTCGGATCATATCTTTTCTGGAAGCTTGTTGGTCCTTATTTTACAAAACTAAAACAATTTGAAGAAGAAGCATCAAATCTAGTAAAACCAGATCTGGTTGTCATTGAAGCATCAAAGGAAAAAGGAGAACTGAAGATATTTTGCTCTGATCATACAACTGAGAAATTATCACAACTCTTCAATGAGGTAACTGGACCTGTGAAAGAGTTTTTGGAAGGAGAAGATTTGGAAGTGCCATTGGGTCAGTCTAAAGAGCGTGCTGGTGTTCGTGTCATCCTTGGCAAAGGGGGAGATGTAAAAGACATCGTCATGGCAGATGAATTCAGAACAATATTTGTTGATCGTCCAGATGAAAGTTCGTCAGCAGACACCATCTTGAACAAGTTTGGCCGTTTTGGAAAGATAAAGGACCACAGGGTGTTTAAGAATCCTCAAAAGCGATGGGGTTGTATTACATTTGAATCTTCAGAAGCAGCAAAGGTAGCAGTGAATGCGACAAAATCTGATTCTTCAGAAGTTGCCATTCCTGAGAAACATGGTCGAGGCTATCAAAACTCCCGGTTTAAGGTTAAAATAACATGGTGTAGGAGAGAGTCCAAAGGATTTGGTTTTGTTGATGTTGCCCCAGAAGTGATGCCACAGATTTTGCGAAGAGGATCACTGTATATCAAAGGAATACTTGTAAGTATTGGTATTGACAGGAAAAGTGGAAAGAGCCTTTATCTTAGAAATCTTGGTCAAACTATTACTGAAGCTGACATCAAAAAGGCAATTCTATCCTCTTTGGACAATGATGACGATGAGATGGAAATATTTCAAAAGGTAACTGTAGTCAGAGAGAAAGTGAACACAACCAAAGAGCAACTGAGCACCTTTAAGACTCGGCTACAGGCACAGCTCAAACACTATTCACCAGACAATAGATTCCACCTGGAGATGAAAGAGCCATATCCAACAAGTGTTCATTACCTTGCCTTTGCATCTTTCACAAATCCTGATGAGGGTATAGCAGCTTGTCAGGGTTTGTCCAGGCAGTTCTATCTCAATGACCGAGTGGTCACCATGGAGCCAGACATAAGGTCATCACTGTACGTAAACAGAGAAGTACATGCAGCAATCAAAGATGACCTGGATGCATACTTGGAAGAATTCTCGACCTTTGGTTACTCAGAAGTTGGTGTGACTTCAAAGACACTGAAAGACGGAACTGTTGTACTTGATATCAATGCATCAAGTTCCATAGAGCTGGCAAAGGTTCGTGCTAACCTACAGGACATTGTACAGGGAGACGTTCTGGAATGTGGAGCAAATCCGAATCTACGGCAACTTTTTACCAGGGCTGGTAGAGACTTCCTGAAAGACGCTGAAAAGAAGTGTAATGCTTTCATTCAAGTTGATGGTAGAACCTTCACGCTATCCATCCGAGGAAAACAGGAGGCAACAACTCGAGTACGCATTTCAATCAATGATTTTCTCCAAGAACTGTCGGAAGGAGAATGGAAGGAGGTGCGCTTGAGGGGAAGAGACAAACCTAATGGGCTGATGAAGACATTGATGAATGAATATGGCATAGAGTTTGAAAAGCTACAGCAGGACATTGGCTTGAGATCTGTAGTCCTGAACTTCAAGCAACAGATTGTGAAGTTGGTGGGATCAGCTGAAGACATTGACAAAGCTGTCAAAGTCATAGAAGACATTTCATCCAAATTGCTGGTTGGTGTCAAAGCTCCAGAAGAGGAAGAACTGCCAGATTGTTGTGTTTGTTTCTGCCCAATAGAACCAAAGGAACTGTACAGACTGCAGTGCTGTGGCCATGCCTACTGTCTTGACTGTGTCAAGAGACAGGTGGAAACTGCAGTCACTGGTCGAGACTTGCCCATCCTTTGTGGGCATGATGGATGTGGTCAACCATTTGCATGGAAGGATTTGTCTAATTTGGTGCGAGAAGGGACATTAACAGTGGCAGGTCTGGCTCTCTCCTCTTTGAGTTCCTTTGTTGGTAAGAACAGCAAAATCTACAAGTACTGCTTGACCCCAAACTGCAACATGGTGTACCGAGTGACCTCGACGGGAGCTGTGTTCCACTGCTCTGAGTGCAGTGTAAGAATATGCACTAGTTGCCACACTCAGTATCACGACGGAATGACCTGTGCCATGTACCAGAGTGGCAGAGACGACGAAGGCAGCCTTGATCAGTGGTTGGCTGCCAATTCCAAAACAACAAAGAAGTGTCCTAACTGTCAGACCCCAATAGAAAAGACAATGGGTTGCAATAATATGCACTGTACAGGATGTAAGTGCAACTTTTGTTGGCTGTGTTTGATTGCCTACAAGTCGGAGGATGAATGCTACAAGCATTTGCAGAAGAAGCATGGTGGATTTGTGTGAATAAACAGTTGCTATTTAATGTCTTTCCCAGTTCATATATCTTTTATCTCATATGATAAATGTCTGAGATATATACCATCGATATGTGATGAAATGTCCATGTTTGTCAAAATGGTCACAAGTACCATCTGATACAAAAAGAGGAAGCATTTGAATGTGCTATGAACAGGTGTGATTAATTTCGGTTCAAAATGAGTATGTCACTTTGCAAACAAAACCGAATATGTTTTGCCAAAAACATAATACAGGATACGTAAGTAAGCGTTGCAAGTTGTTTTGAAAGTGTATACATGAGAATTAGCAATGTTTGCAATGGGATCCTGGAAAATGAACATTCATCTGTGGTTCAAGTATTTCATATACATTGTATATTTCTTTTGGATCTTCTTTTGATTTTTCTTCTTAAAGAGTGTAGACCTGGCGTTTTAATTCCTTTCCACGGAGATATTATGGACTGTTATGGGTGAACAAAACTGTCCAAATCGCATGCTGGATTTCTTGGGGGAATTAGTCAGCAAAGAGCCGGAGTCACAGGAGACTAATCACAATTTTATTTACAAGAACAAATAACAATGAACAGTTTACAATTACTTAGAAAATAGCTGAGGGTGCCACAGAGAGTCGGTACAACCCTCTGGGCTGTGGGAGAGAGGTCTGCTTGGTAAGAGAGTCCAACCCCTTCTCTGCCCTAACATGTGGTTTCTGTATGTATTTAACAAAAAATAGAACAATAAAATGGAATATGATTGGTTGATACACGATGGGTTGTGCCCTATGCTAAATGAATGGCTAGACAGAGGGGAATACTTAATCCTGTTAATCCTGTTGGACTGGCACTAATCTTGTTGACATATTTACTGGGTGCTTTGAAAGAGATTATGGTGTCACTATAGACGAGCTTGTGTTGAGGCTAATCCTTAATGCACTATAGACGAGCTTTTACGGGGGCTAATCCTTAATGAGTCTTAATTGAAGTAATTGCTGAATGTTATTCTAATATAGGTGATGACAGATTTACTTAAATAAAATAGTTCAAGGTAATCTATAAGACTATGTGGACATATCTTTTGTCTGGGAGATGGGATCTTGATACCTTAGGCTAGCATTTATCTAAAAGCTTCAAATCAATTAAACTATGCAGACGTAACTCTTGTTTTATTGAATAGTATGTCTAGGAGATGCGCTCCCATTACCTTAGGCTAGCATCTGTCTAAAAAGCTATAACTGAACTACTGATATTTTATATATGCATTTTACTTGATGATAAGTATTACTTGCTAAACTATTATATGAAATGATGTATAAATGTTACACAATGATAACTCATAAAAGAAATTGATGTGGATCTAATTATTATAGGATAACTTAGTATAAATGTTACACCATGATAGAGAATTAGCAATGTTTGCAATTGGATCATGGAAAAAGAACATACATCTGTGATTCAGGTATTTAATTTTGTATATATTTCTTTTGAATCTTCTGTTTTGTCTTTGTTAAGAGTGTAGAATACCGTATGTAATTATCTGAAATGTTACATATAATCCATCTGTGGTTGGTTCTTGTGCAAATAGGGCGGTCGGGTAGCCTAGTGGTTAAAGCGTTTGCTCGTCACGCCGAAGACCCGGGTTCGATTCCCGACATGGGTACAATGTGTGAAGCCCATTTCTGGTGTCCCCCACCGTGATATTGCTGGAATATTGCTAAAAGCGGCGTAAAACCATACTCACTCACTCACTCTTGTGCAAATATTATATATTTTATGTTGAGCGGAATTAATGGTGTACCTTTATGCTAATATCTTCCTATTTTGAATTATCGTTGATCATAGCCACGTTGGTTCTTCATGGGATGATTTGGGTGTGGTTGATTTTTTATGTGTCATAGGGGGCACGGGTGGCCCAGTCGTCTAAGGCGCCGCGATTTGCTGTGCAGAGTTGTATATCATGCCCTACTTATTTCTGGTCGTCTTATTCCCTTTTATGATGTTACGCGCTACACAAGACTAAAACTGGACTACTGATAAATCATCCTACCTGTAGAAAGCTTTGTTTTTTTATGTAATGATAAAACATTCACTGTTTCTGTTTTAAGACCTACTGTCCAAAGTAGATTTCGCCTTTGTGGAGTTCAAGTAAATGTGACTTGTCTTACGTCCACACAGAAAGATGCTTGTCAGCTGTAAATGTACGTATGTCCTGTGTCGTTAGCTTAGCTCAAGGATGTAGCACCCATGATTGTCAATAAAAACTGGCCTTTGTTGACAAGTAGGAAAAGAAACAATTAGTATGTTTACCAATAGTATATAAGTTGAATACAACTGAAAATGAAGTCCACTTTTGTTTGACTGTTCAAAACATTCTGCTTTGAGGAGTAGACTTTGATTATATGTTTGAAGTTTTAATGACCATTGACGAACATTTACGCTTGGATGGAAGAAGTACTCAGTATTCTGAATAAATAATGTCTGATTGAATGTTGTTTTTTATCGCTGTCGACAAAATTCCAGCTATGATACGTCAGCCTGTGAATAATCTGGTCTGACACTTTTTGTCAACATGAGCAACTGTTCATGTCAGAGTATGATGAAACGGAATCAGCCACAACATGCATTTTAACTTCTTGATCTTACAACAAGGGTGGATACCGCTATCCTGCTCGTGGTCCCAAAGTGGGCTGTTGTAATTAAGAAACCATCACGCACGCACGCACGCACGCACCCACCCACGCATACACACATACATACATATTAGCGCTATACCATTCAAATATGATTACTTCTAATGTTATCTTGGTGCGGCCAAGTGGTTGTGGAAAGACTGTTTGTTTATCAGAGACATCATATGCTGCAGTATAACATGTATACCCCACTCAGACACAATGTACCGAGCCAAATAGTCCTTGTTTTATCTCCCTTAATGCCGAGCGCCAGGCGGGGTAACAAGAAGTACCATCTATTAAAGGACAAGTTAAGTGAAATATTGATTGAGTTTTTGTTGCGAATAACAATTGTCGTAGGTCCATTACGTCAATTCCCGATAGAAAAAACAATCATAACATTCGCAGGATTTAAAAGGTCCAAGTAAAAGTTCTGAAAACACGCTCGGTAATCGGATTCCAAAACAAACCTGTTTGGGTGCGTGGCCGAAAGCTTTCGGTGCTGCGGTGCGTGACAAATGTTTTCAGTGGCTGACATGTAGACTTGGTTGCAGGATCTATACCTACTATGTAATCTATTTTGTGATGCTGTGCTGATACGTCATGAAGCGGGCAATCAAGGGGAAATCTAAATATGTTGCTATTTTTATCCCCCGCCGGGCCAGAATGGCCGAAGGGGGATTATGTCGTGGCGCAGTCCGTCCGTCCGTCCCACAGAGGGTACTAAGCTTGTGAAATCAACTCCTCCTACAGTTTCCAGAGAATATCCCTGACACTCTACACACAAGATGTCGACCTTTTGATGATACGCATATCGCAGTCCCGTTACGTTTCGACTAAATTTGACAGAGTTACTGCCCCTGTTTTACGGAGCTTTATTTGCCTTATTGTGAGAGAGGGTACATAGCTTGTGAAATCAACTCCTCCTACAGTTTCGAGAGAATATCCCTGACACTCTACACACAAGATGTCGACATGTTGATACGCATATCGCAGTCCCGTTACGTTTCGACTAATTTTGACAGAGTTACTGCCCCTGTTTTACGGAGCTTCATTTGACTCGTTAAAAAAAATCACGCGGGGGATGTTGTGCTCTCAGGGCACTCTTGTTTGTTAATCCTACGGAAAAAAACATTGGATACATTGTTGGCTGTGTGAAGCGACCTTTCATCTTGACATTGTGATTAAATACAATAACAATGTCTGTATCAAGCTTTTTCTAACCAACATCCTATTTGGGTACCATAAACTACCTGCTGCCGTCGGTCCAATTCCACACAATGTCGTTACTAATAAGGCACAAGTTGTGGAAAAAGCCCCGTAGCAAATCCAACCGGCTAATGAAAATCAAGGACGGGTAACTTGAGATCGCGAGAGCCACGAAAACTAAACCAGTGGTGAGTGTAGGTTTGCCGAAATGCGAGCCCTGGAGATGGAGATAGAGGATGGTCTAGGTCAAGCAAATCAATTGCGTAGATCGATGCTCATGATCCAGACTCGATTAATTACAGATCGCCGTCTGAAATATTGCGACAACAAACAAACAAGTACCACCTTTTAACGGTATGGTTGGTTGTTTGGTTTGTTGTTTAACGCCGCACTCAGCAATATTCCAGCTTTATGACGACGGTCTGTAAATAATTGAGTCTGAACCAGACAATCCAGTGATTGACATCATGCGCATCAATGCACGCAATTAGGATCGATGACATGCATCAACCAAGTCAGCGAGCCTGACCACCCGATCCCGTTAGTCGCCTTTTATGACAAGCATAGTCACCTTTTACGGCAAGCATGGTTTGCTGAAAACCTATTCTACCCCGGATCTTCACGGGTCTTTAACGGTATGGCGCGGGCGGGGATCGAACCACCGACTTTCTGCTCTCCGGGCACAAGGTCACAGAGGGGATGGGCTGAAACTGATGTTCAGGGCCCCGTTCCACAAATCCATCTTAGCGCTAACGTGATCGTAACTCCCATACTTTAATACTGGCTTACGCTAGTCGTAGCGCTAAGATCCCTTTGTGGAACGGGGCCCAGGTGTGCACTTTGGACTTTGCCAACAAAAAGAGTACTTTGAGCCACCAATGAACTCATTGCAGGTTCATTACACTATGAAGTAGATAATAAGCAGTGATATTATAGTTTACCCCTTCCACTACCCCTTTCACTGATGTTGATGAATCAGTTGCTGAATCCACAGGTGTTTTTGTATGTGAATAATGCTCATTGGCCGTGTTCCTTTGATCATTCACCTGTGTTTGTCCAGTTTACCCGTGATAAGAAAGTGTATTATAACAGGCGTCATATGATAAACATCGCATTTACACAAATAAGATTTCTAAGTGTACCCTTCATGCTCCGGGAAGTTATAAAAGTTTGGGGGTGGGGTGGGGTGGGGGAGGGGGGTGGGGGTGGGGAATGGACGGTTGGCCCAGTCGTCTGAGGATCCGCGATTTGCTGTGCAGAGTTGCGTCCCTTGTGCACGCCAGAAACCTATTATTGTGGGTTCGAATCCCGGTTCGTCCCGATATATGTTTCTAGGTCTGTCATCATACCCGTGCTCGTGGGTGGTAAACGTCTGAGACGTGCAGCTCTACGGGCTTTCCTCCCACATTAAGCTGACACGCCGCGATATAACTGTAATACTGTTAAAAGCGGCGTTAAACCCAACTCACTCAAGACAGATTTATGCGGTAACGTCACTTACGTGAAAGAACCACCACGGCCACCTCTACACCTACGGCAATACCAGAATTGCATACTGTTCCATATGTGGAATATGGAACCTGGGTCAATGAGAATGATGTGTGCAAACTTTGAACAATCGATTACCATCTGTTGATTATTTTGAGATACATAAAATGTACATCAAAAATCACTTTTGCGTTTCTATTTTCTTCCGAGTATATGTAGTAGTCCATATCGGCTTGTTGTTCACTGATACTTGCGAGGCGACGATTTAGTCTCGTGGACCATTGTCGTTATCAAGACACAACCAGCGATTTTTACTTTTTAACTTCTCCGTTAACGCACGGGAATTTGAAACTGTGCAAAAATGAAAATATCAATACTCATAACCAAAATGTTCCTCGTTCGGCCTAAAGATATTTTTGTACAGTGCCACGTTTTGTTTACGTATCTCTGTGGGTAACGGGTCGTTTATTTGGAGATATCAAAGGCTGTTTATTAGAAGGGATCAAGGGGGCGTATATTGGTAACGTATACAGGGGCGTCTATTTGGAGAGAAGGGGATGTTTGTTATGAGGTATGAAGGGGCCTTTATTACGAGAGAATAATGGGCGTGTATTGAGTGAGTATGGTTTTACGCCGCTTTTAGCAATATTGCAGCAATATCACGGCGGGGGACACCAGAAATGGGCTTCACGCATTGCACACATGTGGGGAATCGAACCCGGTTCATCGGCGTGACGAGCGAACGCTTTAACCGCTAGGCTACCCGACCGCCCCTGCGTGTATTGAGATCAAGGGTTGTTTATTAGGAGAGGACAAGGCGGTGTTTATTAAAAAAGACAATAGGGGTTATTATTATTAGAGGGAAAGGGGTGTTTATAAGTAGAGATCAAGGAGGCGTTTATTGAAAGGGGGGGGGGGGGGGGGGGGGGTCTAGTCAACCTCTGTTGACCTAAGTTGGCCACACCTACTGATCCCCTGGGTTGCGGTACTCTGGTTAGCAGCCTTCAAGTGACGTCATCGTTAAACCTGGTTAGTTTCATTTATGTATTCTATGCAACAATGAAATTTAACTTTCGATCGTTGATATAAATAATATGCAACTTTGATGATGACTTTGTATCTCTGTTTGATGCACGCGTCATTGGGAAATTTCTTGTCATTTTACAAGCGTTAAGTAATGGTACAATGGCAGGTTTGTCAAGCAATGAAACACTTGTCAACTTCTTCTAGTTGTGTGCTACAGCAATGCACGTGGTTGTTGTGTTTCGCCTTCACCTGGCAGCTATTTTGTATTACATCTGAGGGTGCATTTAATGCGTCTTATTTCGGGTACTGCCCTAACTTGTCCTGGTTAACCCTGGTTAACTTAGACCGAATGTAGTCAACACTGGCTGCCAGAGTTGTGGTAACCTCAGTTGACTCGGGTAACTCAAACTTTAATCATCAAACGCAAGCAGTGTTCAGAAAAAGCGCTTCCTTTGCCCACGCCAATTGAGGCAGAAATACCATCCTGTATAATATCCTCTATAGACCTTTCTCGGAAAACCGGGTGCATTAAATTTTAATTTCCTTCTTGGGGAAACCACAATTCATGGAAGTCCCAAACCGAAAGTATCGCGGGAGTTCTCAATAAGCAGGCGAAGATATCGTTCGTGTGAAACATCTAACACGTCCATTTCAAATTATAACTCACCCCTACATTGTAAACAGTGCATTTTTTACGAACGCAAACGAAAAATATAAGATAAAAGTGGCATTTGGTCCTTGTAATTTGGACACACTGTCTATCACAATGAACACTCGTGGATCAGGTGATCAGGTGATTTCCCCGAACTGGTAGGCGTGAACATTAAAACACCCATTTGCGACAGGTACAGTCAGAAGCTGGCAGGTTGTGTTTGTTTGCTCGTTGTATAACGCCGTACCCAGCAATATGACGGCGGTGAACTGGTAGGCGTGGGCATTAAAACACCCACTTGCGACAGGTACAGTCAGAGGCTGGTTGTGGTAGGAAGGTAAGTGTGCGTTTCTAATGGTTCTATGTGGTAGTCTATATCGGCTTGTTGTTCACGGATACTTTCGAGGTGACGGACAGTGATACAATTCAGTCTAGTGGGGTATCCCCGTTATCTTGTAACCAGCGCAGGTGTTCTACTGCTCTAGGGGCGGTCGGGTAGCCTAGTGGTTAAAGCGTTCGCTCGTCACGTCGAAGACCCGGGTTCGATTCCCGACATGGGTACAATGTGTAAAGCCCATATCTGGTGACCCCCGCCGTGATATTGCTGGAATACTGCTAAAAGCGGCGTAAAATCAAACTCACTCACTCACTCACTCTACTGCTCTAACATCTTTATTAACGCACTACAATGTCAGGCCGTACACAAATGAAAATAACAATATTCACAACCACGCTGCATCGAATACATGAGTATTGACAAGAGATATTTTTATACAGTGGTAAGTTCTGTGCTACGAATTTCCGTGGGTACAGGGCCGTTTATAAGGCGAGACCGAAGGGGTGTTTATTTTGAAAGGACAAGGGCGTGTGTCTAAGGACATAATAAGGGGACTTTTTTTTATTAGGAGGAAATGATGCGGCGTTTATTAGGAGGGAATAAGGGAAGTTTATCAGGAGAGAATAAGTGAGCATTTATTAGGAGAGACCAAAGGGATGTTTATTTTGAAAGGGCAAGGGCGTGTGTTTAAGGAGATAATAAGGGGACGTAGTTTATAAAGAGGAAGTGACGCGGCGTTTATTAGGAAGGACCAAAGGGATGTTTATTTTGAAAGGGCAAGGGCGTGTGTTTAAGGAGATAATAAGGGGACGTAGTTTATAAAGAGGAAGTGACGCGGCGTTTATTAGGAAGGAATAAGCTACTAGTTTATCAGGAGAGAAAGAGGGAGCATTTATCAGGATAGACTAAGGGGGTGTAAATCAGAAGACAAGGGTCGTGTCTACCCCAGCCACAAACACACTCGCGTGATAACTTCCATATACTTTTCTTGGTAAGCTGGGTGCATAAACGATATTTCCTTCTAGGGAAACAACTTTCGTTATGTTCATCAAATTATGGAAGCTTCAAACCGAAAGTATCGGGTGCTCTCAATAAGCAGCCGAAGATATCGTTCTTGTGCAACAGCTAACACGTCGATTTCAAATAATAACTAACCCCTACTTTGTAAACAGAGCATTTTTCACGAACACAAACGAAAAATATAAGATGAAAGTGACATTTGAGCTCTTTTACATCGACACGCTGTCTATCGCAATGAACGCTCGTGGGTCAGATGATCAGGTGATTTCCACGAACTGAGAGCTGTGGACATAAATCACCCTCTTGCAACACGAACAGTCAGAGGCTGGTTGTGGTTGGAAGGTCCGGAAGTATTCTAATGATATGTGGTAGTCTTGGGGTGTTTACTGGAGATATCAAGGGGGCGTTTATTAAGAGGGAATAAGGGGGCGACGTTTATTACGTGAGATCAAGGGAGCGTTTATTAAGAGGGAATAAGGGGGCAATGTTTATTACGTGAGATCAAGGGAGCGTTTATTAAGAGGGAATAAGGGGGCGACGTTTATTACGTGAGATCAAGGGAGCGTTTATTAAGAGGGAATAAGGGGGCGACGTTTATTACGTGAGATCAAGGGAGCGTTTATTAAGAGGGAATAAGGGGGCGACGTTTATTACGTGAGATCAAGGGAGCGTTTATTAAGAGGGAATAAGGGGGCAACGTTTATTACGTGAGATCAAGGGAGCGTTTATTAAGAGGGAATAAGGGGGCAACGTTTATTACGTGAGATCAAGGGAGCGTTTATTAAGAGGGAATAAGGGGGCGTCGTTTATTACGAGAGATCAAGGGAGCGTTTATCAGAAGGGAATATGGGGACATTTATTTCGAGAGAATAAGGGAGTGTTCATTACGAGTGAACAAGGGGGAGTGTACTCGTGTTTGGAGAGAATGATGGAGTGTTTGTTACGAGAGAACATGGGGGAATGTTGATTAATAGAGAGTAATGGTGTTTATTAGGAGAGGACAAGGGGCTGTTTATCAGGAGGGATTAAGAGGGCTACAGCTGTAGGAACAGTGTTGTACTGCTAAAGCTATGAGGTATGGTTTGCTCAGACTCAGACGTACCCAGGCCAACAAACCTATTCTTGTCCTTTTTGATAAATACAATGAAATCATTTATATTATTGAATTTTCTGTCCCTTTCGACACTAATGTGATTGACAAGATTCAGGAAAAACATGCCAAATACGCTTTTGAAATGTCGCGCTTGCATCCCAAGTACCAATTTGGCCGACACGTCGCCTAAGGTTTGGCACCTTCCAATCTGTTGACTGACTTTGGGAGAGTACCTGGGAATGCTGCCAGGAATACAACCCTCATGCCAATCTGGGTAATGCAGAAGGCTGTAGTGTTGAGGAGTCTTCACATTCTCCTAAAGGTTCTGGGTGGGTTTGACTAGGCAGCTTCCTGGGAGAAGTCCCATTGGCTGTCTGGGCTGCGTGTGGAGGGGGAAAAGGCCCTGAGCTGATGATGAGCCTAGCCAGCCTGACTGTGCCAAGATCACCCAAACCCTCTTTACTGCATTTTTTTTTACATTATAACAACAACAATAATAATAATAATAGTAATAATAATAATAATAATAATAAAAACCCTTTGAACAGTCATTAGAAATCTAGCATTGTATGATTTGCGGCTACATGATGAGCATGTGTTTATAAATATACTCTTCAAAAAATGAAACGCAAAGCCAGATTTGTGTGAGGTAGGAAAATACATTTATACGAGGAACCGTACAAGGTATTGAGCCAAAATGTTGTGGAGAGAACACTTGGTGATTGTAGTCATCTCAGTTATCGGTACATAGGAAAAGTCCAAGATGAAGGTCAGCTACCATCAATAACGCGTATGTCCCCCGTTGGAATCGAGCGCGGCCTGACTCCTGCCCATGGAAGAGGCGAGTATGCAAATCACATCCTGGGGATGTTAGTCCACGGCCTGCAACGCAAAAAAACCAACTGTTGCAACGTCTTGGGTTGTGGTTGACATCGGCGTAGCCGTCTATCCAATTCCTCCCACAGGTGCTCTATCGGGTTCAAATCCGGGGATCTGGAGGGCCAGGGGAGAACATCAACGTTGTTGTTGTGTAGACTGGCACTTGTGATCCATGCTGTATGCGGCCGAGCGTTGTCCTGCTGGAATACACCTTTGCCGTTGGCTGCAATGGGGAGGTCGTGAGAATTTCGTTGATTTATCGTTGAGCCGTAAGATTACCCTGGATATGGACCAAACCTGTCATGATGAAAGATAGCCGCCCACATCATAACGCTACCCCCACCAGACCTGTCCACCTCCATACCCTGTGTAGACTACACCAATGCAGTCGTTGTTGACGATGTTGTCGACTCAATATGACGCGTCGAACAGGACGTCTTCTCGTAGACCTGCTGCTCTTAAACGGTTTCGTACGGTCTGGTCGGAGATTTGGCGCAGTCCGGGTATTTGGGATACGGTTGAGGTGGCTGTGGCTGCGGTCCTTTCACGTAGGTGGCGCAGTCGGATGTAGCGATCTTGGGCGGGGGTGGTTACTCTTGGTCGTCCCGACCTTGGCCGATCACGTGTTGACCAATGCTGTTGAAACCGATCCCATAGCCTTGTGATGGTGCTTGGCGCTACATTGAAAACACTGGCTACAGCTGATCGGGATTCCCCTGCCTGAAAGTGGCCCATGACGTTGTTTCTTTGCACTTCTGTTAATCTGAATGTTGTTGAACTGTAACTGTTCGATTGACGCAGATGTCAGGCAATCCAAAACCCTGCACTTTAATACCGTTCATAGTACTGCTGCACTTGCAGTGCGTGCAGCTCCATGGCCCTTTCCTTAATGCACTGGGTGCGTTTTTCCGAAACGTACGTGTTTCCCGACTAATGGTTTGCATGTCTTTGAATTGATCATTTTGATTAGGGAAATTTGTCACTGACACTATAACACATTAAACCTCTTCATTACGGAAAAAAATCTCCTTTATGCATTTTGTTTTTGAAGAGTATAACTATCAAATAGCCATGATAAAAAGGTGTTTGCGAAACGGTGAGCATATCCTGCCACACGCATCACAAACACATGCGAAGGCAAGTCGATGTTCACCTGCGAAAACACGGGAACATATGATACAAGTCAAAATATGAAATTTCATCGCACATCATGTCAGTCACTGAGGCATCAGATTTGGAAATATACTCCACTTGTCTATCATGAAACATTTTGCAAGATTTACTTGGGCCTTGAATGTTGTAACTTTGATCAGAAACTTCTGAGCAAGAGTCGTATGATGCTTTTTGAAATCAGGATAGAAAGAGAATGCTCGATTGTACATCAAAAGTTGTGAAATATGGACACCAAGGGCTAGAGCTGCATGTTTATTGCTCAGCATAAAGGGAAAGTTGACTATTGGGAAGTTGAAGTCACCTCTCTTGTCATACATTCTTGTGGAGAGTGTTTTGTCACTCTGATTCTTTTGCATAGATCTAAATATGAAACAGATGAGGCGGTCTCACTGGCCTCCTTTGTTTCTAGTTCAGGTGGGTAAATCAGTGGAAGGGAATTGGCTATTTGATGGTAACTGAACGATATCAGATCATCGCTATACCTGAAGCTCAAGTTAAACTTCTTGGCCAAATTCCTTTTTGACCAAAAACCAAAAACATATTTCTCTTTGTTTCAGTAACCAACGTCAGCAAAACAACCTCTAAAATCAGTTGCCGTATCAGAGAGCAGAGGCTCCAGCAAGATGGCAGCCAAATCTGGTGTATCAGGTGAGGTTGAAGGCCAGGTGTCACGGGTTTCAGCAGACACCAAGAAAGCGGCAATTCCCTCCGAGGAAAGACAGAACACACTGAACAGGAATGAGGCACTGGCTCTGCCTACTAAGAGGGACGAAAGTGAATTTGAGAAACATTTCTCAATCATCAGAGGAAGGGCAGATAAAGTCTTGAGCCTTCATATGGAAAAGATCAATGTTACTTCCAAGAATATTGAGAGTCTGTCATCAAACAAGCATGTAACAATTGATGAGTATGAGGCAAAACGGTATGAAAAAGATGCTCTGAAGGATAAGTTAGAAGAGTTGAAACTGCAGAAGGAACAGTTTACAACATTTATGAAGAGTTTGGAGTCGAGACTGGTTTCACTATGGAAAAATAATACCTATGCTAAACACATTGATAATCTACGGAGAGACTTTGGTGTGGAGCTTTGTAGACTTACATCAGCATTGCCTATGTATGCAAGAAGAAATGATATAATCAGAACGGTACAGGACAACCAGGTTTGTGTTATATTAGGGGAGACTGGGTCAGGGAAGAGCACACAGATGACACAGTACCTTCATCAGGCTGGCTTCAGCAAAGATGGATTCATCGTGTGCACACAACCAAGGAAGGTTGCGGCCATAAGTCTGGCAACCCATGTTGCATCAGAGCTGGTGACAAATGTGGGCAATGTTGTGGGATATAAAGTTGGGATGCAATCTAAATGCGGAGGAGCTACCAAGATCTTGTACATGACTGATCACTGCCTTCTGAACGAATGTCTGAAAGATCCAATTCTGTCTGCTTACAGCTGTGTGATAGTTGATGAAGCACACGAGAGAAGCATCTACACTGACCTGCTACTTGGAATGCTGAAGATGTGCCTGAAACAGCGCCCTGATCTCAGGGTGATCATTACATCAGCGACTATTGACCCTGAAGTCTTTGTCAGATATTTTGGCAAGTGCCCAGTCTTGAGAGTATCTGGGAGAATGTTTCCTGTCGAAGTAGAGTACCAAGAAGAAAATGATGGAGGCAAGTCTTTTGATAACTATCAGAGAGAAGCTGTCAACAAAGCTGTACAAGTCCACACAAAAGATCCACCAGGTGACATTCTGGTCTTTGTTACATCTCCTTTAGAGACCGAGAAATGCAGTGAAGATTTTAACAATAGACTCCAGGGAAGGACTGACTTCAAATGTCTGGTTCTTCATGGTCAGATTCAACCAGATGAGCAGCAGTTGGTATTTCAGGACACCCCTTCAGGAGTCAGAAAGATTGTCTTTGCCACAAACAGTGCAGAAACTTCAATCACCATTCCAGGTATCAAGTATGTTATTGATACTGGTCTTGCAAAGGAGAAACGTTATGATCCTCGGCGAAACATGAGCACATTGAGCGTAGTTCTTATCAGTCGCAGCTCAGCAGATCAGAGGAAAGGTCGTGCAGGAAGAACAGGCCCTGGGAAATGTTACAGGCTCTACAGTGAAGAGACGTATCATGAAATGGAAGCAGTCTCACTGCCAGAGATACTGAAGGTTCACTTAGGACAGGCAATGTTGAAGCTGACAGAGCTTGGAATTAATCCGCTAGAGTATGAATTTGTTCAGTCACCGGGACCATCAGCAATAGCTACAGCTATGACTACACTTGAGGAACTTGGTGCAGTCAAAGACAATAAGATCACGGAAGAGGGGAGAGAACTAGCAAGGTTTCCTGTTGAACCTCGACTGGGACTAATAATCCAGAAAGGAAGATCTGAAGATGTTCTCTTTGATGCAGTTGTTCTTGCAGCTGTGAGCAATGTTGGAAGCTCAATATTCTTCAGAGGTGGAAGTGACGACAATAAGAAGAAAGCTGACAAGCTGAAGATACAATTCTGTCACAATGGCGGCGACAGTCTCACTTTGCTGAATGTATACAGAAAATGGAACAAAGAGCCTGAAAAGGAGAAGAACAAGTGGTGCTTTGCAAACAACTTTAACTCAAAAGCTCTGCGAATTGCCAGAGAAACTGTCAATGAGGTGATGACACTTTTGAAGAAGGAGGCAAAAGTGAAGGTGACGAATGAGTTTAAAGACCCACAAGACGCAGATGTGAAACTTCAGAAAATACTCTTTGACAGCTTCACCTCCAACATCTGTCATTCTCTCGGGCTTGCTAAGGCAGGGTATTATGCTCCGAGACTTGAGCAACAGGTTCATGCTCATCCCTCTACGGTCCTGTATCCACTCAACTTGGTTCCTGAGTGGCTTGTCTTTGAGCAGTCCATGAAGACATCCAAAGACTTCATTACAGGACTGACGCCAGTGAATGAATCCTGGGTTGTTGAAGCCATTGAATCTGGACGTCTAAAGAGAGATCTCGAAGAGATGAGAAAGAAACAGCTTCTTCCTGTGCATGTTGAACATGTCGGATCATATCTTTTCTGGAAGCTTGTTGGTCCTTATTTTACAAAACTAAAACAATTTGAAGTAGAAGCATCAAATCTAGTAACACCAGATCTGGTTGTCATTGAGGCGTCGAAGGAAAAAGGGGAACTGAAGATATTTTGCTCTGATCATACAACTGAGAAATTATCGCAACTCTTCAATGAGGTAACTGGACCTGTGAAAGAGTATTTGGAAGGAGAAGATTTGGAAGTGCCATTGGGTCAGACTAAAGAGAGTGCTGGTGTTCGTGTCATCCTTGGAAAAGGGGGAGCTGTGAAAGACATCCTCATGGCAGATGAATACAGAACAATACGTGTTGACAGCCCAGGTGAAAATTCATCAGCAGACACCATCTTGAACAAGTTTGGCCGTTTTGGAAAGATAAAGGACCACAGGGTGTTCAAGAATCCCCAAAAGCGATGGGGTTGTATTACATTTGAATCTTCAGATGCAGCAATGGAAGCAGTGAATATGACAAAATCTGATTCTTCAGAAGTCGCTGTTCCTGAGAAACATGTTCGAGGGAATCAAGAGTCCCAGTCAAAACTCCAGGTTAAAATAACATGGTGTAGAAGAGAGTCCAAAGGATTTGGTTATGCTGACGTGGCACCAGAAGTGATGCCACAGATTTTGCAAAGAGGTTCACTGAACATCAAAGAAACACTTGTAAATATTAGCATTGACAAGAAAAGTGGAAAGAGCCTTTATCTTAGAAATCTTGGTCAAACTATTACTGAAGCTGACATCAAAAAGTCAATTCTATCATCTATGAACTATGATGAAGATGAGGCAAACATCATTCATAAGGTAACTGTAGTTAGAGAGAAAGTGAACACAACCAAAGAGCAGTTGACCACCTTCAAGACTCAGCTACAGGCGCAGCTCCAACACTATTCACCAGACAATAGATTCCAGGTGGAGATTAAAGAGCCAACAGCAACAAATGTATTTTACCTTGCCTTTGCATCTTTCACAAATCCGGATGAGGGTATAGCAGCTTGCCAAGGTTTGTCCAGGCAGTTTTATCTCAATGACCGAGTGGTCACCATGGAGCCAGACATAAGGTCATCATTGTATGTAAACAGAGACGTACATGCAGCAATCAAAGATGACCTGGATGCATACTTGAAAGAATTCTCGACCTATGGCTTCACAGATGTTCGAGTCACTCCAAAGCCACTGAAGGACAAAACTGTACTTTATATCAATGCATCTAGTTCTAAGGAGCTAGCAAAGGTTCGAGCTGATCTACAGAACATCATACAGGGAGACGTTCTTGAATGTGGAATGGATCAGAAACTACGGCAACTTTTTTCAAGGGCTGGAAGGGACTTCCTAAAAGAAACAGAAAAGAAGTGTAATGCTTTCATTCAAGTTGATGGTAGAACCTTTACGTTATCCATCCAAGGGGAAAAAGAAGCACGCGCTAGAGTACACATTTTAATCAAAGGTTATCTCCAAGAATTGTCTGAAGGAGAATGGAAGGAGGTACATTTGCGGGGAAGAGACAAACCTAATGGGCTGATGAAGACACTGATGAATGAATATGGCATAGAGCTTGAGAAGCTACAGCAGGACATTGGCTTGAGATCTGTAGTCCTGAACTTCAAGCAACAGATTGTGAAGTTGGTGGGATCAGCTGAAGACATTGACAAAGCTGTCAAAGTCATAGAAGACATTTCATCCAAATTGCTGGTTGGTGTCAAAGCTCCAGAGGAGGAAGAACTGCCAGATTGTTGTGTCTGTTTCTGTCCAATAGAACCAAAGGAACTGTGCAGACTGCAGTGCTGTGGTCACGCCTACTGTCTTGACTGTGTCAAGAGACAAGTGGAAACTGCAGTCACCGATCGAGACTTGCCCATCCTTTGTGGGCATGATGGATGTGATCAACCATTTGCATGGAAGGATTTGTCTAATTTGGTGCGAGAGGGGACATTAACTGCGGCAGGTCTGGCTGTCTCCTCTTTGAGTTCCTTTGTTGGCAAAAACAGCAAACACTACAAGTACTGCTTGACCCCAAACTGCAACATGGTGTACCGAGTGACCTCAACGGGAGCTGTGTTCCAGTGCCCTGAGTGCAGTGTAAGAATATGCACTAGTTGCCACACTCAGTATCACGATGGACTAACCTGTGCCATGTACAAGAGTTCCAAGGATGAAGAAGAGCTTGAACAGAGAGAGAAGGCTGGCGAAGTCAGCATTGAAAAGTGGCTAGCTGACAATTCCAAAACAGTAAAGAGGTGTCCTAGCTGCCAGACCCCCATACAAAAAACAGAAGGCTGCAATCGTATGCACTGTACAGGATGTAAGTGCCATTTCTGTTGGTTGTGTCTTAAATGGTACAGTACATCTGGTGAATGTTATGCTCATTTGAGTGAAACACATGGGGGGTATTTTACTTAGTATTATGGGCTGTTTGGCGGGGTATAGGTTTTAACAGGAAGTCTATATATTTTCACAAGGGGGTTTATGCATGTCTTATATTTTCCCTCAGTTAAGTAAGTTGATTATATCTATTTAAGTAGCACACAGTGCTGCCAATACAAATTATAACAGCAGCTGGGGTATCATTACCATGGCCAGCAGCACAGAGTCATGTGCGGGTCAGCGGTTTGTAATTAATGCTTGAGAATGGTCGGTTGGCAACTGAAGCTTAACATTGTGGATGAGGTGCGGGATATTGCAGGCTGACCATATATTCAACGTAACACGATACATGGCAGTCTAACAGTGAGACTTGACCCTCGGACATCGGCTAGGCCGGTGGACCCTCTTGCGTCTCCAGAGGCTAGCTGCATGGATATAAAGTAGCAGCATACTATCAGAGAATAAACGCTGTGGACCCACAGACGGACTTGTGTTCTCAGTACCAGAAGTATCCGGTAGAGCAACGTCTACCTTTGACATTAAGCATAACCATGAGCCGATAGAGGATTTAGCCACAAATTGAACTGAACTGGTAACATTTCAAATCTGGCTCTTACTGCTAGAACCGAATGAATGTGAACTATAGTCCTCGCCACTTGAAATAGAATCCCGAAATATTGCAACGATTAATTAACGAAGATAGCTGCATGTGTGCTAATACGTACAAACTGAAAACAAGCCACTCTGCTTTTCACGAAAAGTCTTTTTCGCTAACGATAAATGTCATTAAGTTTTTATCACCTGGGTACAATCCGGGTAAATATCGAGAGTCACATGACTGCGAGCGGTAATATTTAAAAGCCGAAAACAAGCCACCCTGCCCATAAGGACTCTAACCTACAGAACTGACAAAAAATGATATTTCGTGATTGTATTTCAAGTGGTAAGGACTGGACAAGAGGACGGTGGAAATGCAGCTTTGTTTTAGTTTATCCATGAATATATTTTTTAGAATGACATCTCTGTGACAATTTTTTACTTTTTACCATATATATGCATGTATAAATCTTAAGCACCCTATTTTGATATATCGTTTGCCTTATTTTGATAAATGTCTAAGATATAGCCGATACCTGATGAAATATTGGTACAAGACACTGTGTGGTCACAAGTACTGAATCATACAATCTCATACAAATTCACTGAGGAAGCAAAGGAATGGCAAAAAAACAACTATATTAGCATAAAACAGGAAGAAAGCATCAGCAGAAACAACTTCTGTTTTTGTATTTCTATACGAGTATGTCTCTTTGTAAACAAAATATAAAGTGTTTCTTTTGACCAAAACTTAATACACGATCATTTTGAAAATTATAAATGGATATTACAAATGGAGAATTAACAAGTAAGCGTTGCTGAACATTTTCCAAGTTTAATGACTTCTTTTATTCCTCAGAATACTTGCCACGGATAGTTAACAATGTTTGTAATTAGACTCTGGAAAATGTATATACATTTGTGATGCCATTATTAAGTTTTATAGATATTTCTTTTGAATAATATTTTGATCTGTCTTCGTAAAGAGTGTAGAGAACATCATGTAATTATTGTAATCTAAAATGTTACATATGATCATCCCTGGCAATCTCGTTAAAAAGCTGTGTGTTCGCTACCTCTAAACACAGATCTGCGGACATAACATTATGGATGGGTTATATTTTATCCGACCAATCAGAGCGTCGTTTACCTAGATTGCGAGAGTGACAGTAGGTAATGTGTTTTCTAACCATGCGAACCTGAGAAGCATAACACGAGACAAATGACAGTTACAGGCTGTCCGACTGATTCTAGACCGCCTCCATGGCCTAGTGGTAGAACGTCCGCCTGGAGGTCCGGGGTTCGATCCACACACGTGCATGTACGTCGCTATATAAGTGCAATAATCTTGGACGTGCCAATAAGCCCCATTTCATCGCCTCACCTCCCACTGATTCCGTCAAAACCATCGTCTATCTCCCGCTTCAATGGGATAAACCTCTAAAATGGAAGTCAGAGACTTTCCATAGCCCTTTAGAAGTAATGCCAGACAATCCCGGCCATCTATCAGACATGACAAAATTTTCTTTTGTTCCATTTTCAAATTTTGAATCAATAATTTCCAAAGCATACTCTTACTTGGTATTCTTCAGATAATGTAATACAAACTTGGTGAAGGGTCTCATGTTGAGCAGAATTAATGATGTACCTATATTTTGTTTTCTGATTTAATTACCGTTGATCATCATGGTTCTTTCAGGGCTGATTTTGTATGTAGTTGATGTCTGAGGTGGCATACATGCCAATTCGTACCTATTCTTGTTGTATTCCCTTGTGTTCTCATATTGGACTATGTTCAGCAGACCTTTAGCCAGCTCTGATTTCTGTTATTTAATGATAAAGCCTTCATTGCTTCTGTTTTGCAAATTTCGCCAGATACCTATTGTCAAAAATGAATTTCTTCATTGGGTGAAGGGTGGGTATCAAGTACATGTTTCAGATCTTATATCTACACAGAAAGGTACTTGTCAGCTAGAATTTTTGTGAATCTTCAGCTCTGTTTAATGACATAGCTCTCATGATTCTTAACAGAAACTGGGCGTTATTGACACTAGGAAACGAAACAAAGTATTTATTGAAAAAATAATATATTATATAACTTGAAGACAACTGAAGATGAAATCCACTTTTTGTTTGAGTGTACAAACTATTCTGCTTTGAGAAGTAAAGACATTTATTATATCCATACGTTTGAAGTTTTAAGACTGCTGATAACATTTACACTTGAGAGGATGAAGTATTGTTTATTTGTTTGTTGTTTAACGCCGCACTCAGAGGATGAAGTACTCAGTCTTCTGAATAAACATTGTGTGAATGTTGTTTAATGTATCTCTCAGCAACATTCCTGTTTGGATACGATAACCTGTGAATAATCTTCTTGTCACCATGAGCAATGATGCATGTCATGGAGTACGATGAAATACATTTTAACTTTCCTATGTTAATAGGCAAGTAAACTCAACATTGCAACTTTACAGATTGTATTACTTTAGGGCATTCTTAATCACAAATGCTTGACCAAAATTAAATTTGAAAAAGGGAAATAGTGTAAGGCAAATATGCGAAATCGTCCCCCAAATCTGCCATTGAAGGGATATACCCCTTACTGGTTTCCCCGGTCTTTGATACACTGTGCAATCTCAACAATCAGACCGGCCTCCTTATGCCTGCTTCTGGATTTTTTAATCTAATTACGGGCCTTTTTCTGTCAGCTCATCCGTTAGATTACCGTGTCCACAACTCATGTCAACTTATGCTTTATCAGCAACAACATTGAAGATGCCTTCAGTTGTCTTCTCAGGGAATTATTCCATGACAGGCATTCATTGTGTGGAACAGGACCCAGGTCAGCAGGTGTTTTATAGTACCCATAAAAAGCTTGTTACAGACATTAATTGTTTTTTAATTATTCACAATATCAAGATCAAAGGTCGTTTCACACACTCAACAGTGTATGCAATGTTATTTTTGTAGACTTTTTAGATTCCCTTTGATTTGTTACTTCCTGGGGTATCCATTTAACTCCTAAACATCACAAGATAGATCATATAATAAATAGAGGCTGCAAGCAAGACTTCATATCAGCCAATTAATAAATTGTCAGGCACAGCTGCACCATCGCGCTGGCAGCTCTAGGCCACGCCTCCAAATAGGTTTGTTTATTAATCCTATTACAAAGCGTGTGATTCAGCACGTTTGACGAATGTTGTTTTTTCCTCTCTTGGGAATCGACTTTGGGGCTGGCCATTTGATATTTAGGGGGCCCCCAGGTTTTGGGGTAGAGTCTTTTTTTTTTCTTCTTCATTTTTAGGGGCTGAGATTTTTTTTTCTCAAAAAGAGAGCTGAGATTATATTTTTACAGCACCGTTCAAATTCAACCTATGGAAAGACTGTTAAATATGCTTACTGTTTACTAAAACATAATAACTGTACAGATGTAGGTGATTTTTAAACAGAACAATGAAAATAGCAGTATAATAAAGCATTTTATAAAATAATAAAAAAAAGACCATTTTGTTATGTTTGTACTCACATCTACTGGAGGAATGTACTTTTCAATTACTAAGATGATGTGGATGATGGACATTAGTAGCATAACTTTTGATGTCAACTGACAAAAAAAAGAAATGTTTCCAAACCAAGCTGGACACGTTGATCCAAACCCAGAATAGTATTACAAAATGGTTGAGAATCAATCGCCCGACACCACAACTAGCCATGCACCATAACAATACCCCTGAATGTCATGGAGCTTTTGTTCCCAAAAGCGTTTTAAATATATTGAAAGTCCAAGTACACAGTAAAATGCATTTCTCCAATCACAAAGATCAGTTTTTGCCTCAGATTGGTCAGAATTAGGACACACTCACTTACATCATCACAAAACAGAAACAGGTGACACCAGACCCGTTAAGACTCCCTTTTTGTAGGCAAAATGCACCGATTTGGAAAGAATGTTCCAGACAGGTGTAAGACATGTTTGAAGCCAATAAACCTCTGAAAGGCACTCTCTCATTGTCATGGTTAAAAAAAGTGATAGCTCCTACCGCTTTGTTGTAGATTATACACGCCTCAATGCAGGTATCAAACCTATATTTTTCCCTCTACCACATCGGCCAATATTTTAGTGTGTTTGATTGTGCTGGTGGCTTTTGGCAAATACCATTCAATCCAGATGCAAAACACAAGTCGGCCTAAATCAAACCCGATGGGGTTTGGATGGAATGACCGAATCGCCTCTCTTTTGGCCTAAAACATGCTCCTATGGCATTTCTGCAAACCATTTTAGAGGCAATTAAAAAAATGATTTGGCTTTACATACTAATATATACTTGGATGACATAATATTTTCTAAAACGTGTGTGGAACATTTGAGTCACCTCAAGGCAGTATTCCAAAAGATCAAAGAAGCAGGACTCACTCTAAAACCAAGCAAATGTAAATTTGCGACAAAACAAGTCACCTACTTAGGGCATATCTTCAGCAAAGATGGCATCCATGTCAACATACATGTACTTCAATAATTGATTCAGTCATACAGATCCCACCCTCTAAAAATGTCCATGACGTGAGTCATTTCTTAAATTTAGTTTCGTATAATCAAAAATTTTAAGCAAACCTTTCTGGCATCGCCTGCCCTCTATACAACATTCTGAAAAAAAAAGATGTGTCTTTCGAATAGTCCAACAATTGTCAACTGGCAATCGGAAAGCAAGCCCTTACAACTGATGCATCTCCCACTGCAATAGGGTACATTTTAGGCCAACTTGATTCTCATGGCATAACTTGGAATGATGTTAATTCATGTCTTTTGACCAAACAAGCGTCTTCCTCTTCTGTTTTTAAGAACAAACAATCTTGATCGGTAACGTTTCTTTTGCTCGTCAATTTCCAAGTAAGGGTATATGATGCTTAATGGTCATTTCCCATCACAGGCATCTTGAAATGGAAGATTTGAAATGATTATTAATAAATTAGGGTTACAGGCATACTGTCTCTCTGTTAAAGATTATCGCTTTGCTCACAAAATATTCTGTATTGATGAGGTTGGCCATATTGAGGTCAAGTTATGTTTTTCTGAGCTGGTTTTTTTTTAATGTTTACTGTATGGGGACAAGTTTCCCCATTTCGTGCATTCACAGCCGAACCTACTTTGTGGTTATGGAAAGGGACCGACCATGTCATGTATGGGACTTAAATCAAGGGTAAATACCATGGTGTATTGCTATAAGCCTTACAGTTACTCTCACTGTGTGTAGATAAACTAATTGTTTGTTTCTCTATTTGTTGTATAACACTGCACTCAGCAATATTCCAGCTACAAAATGGCGGTCTGTAAATAATTGAGTGTGGAATTTCTGGGCTCAACGAGTGGCTATTACGAGTTATGTCCCTCCTATTAACCAATCAGATTTCACTTCTCATAACCCACATGCATTTACTTCAAACAAAATGGCGTCGCCCAGTCAAGACGATCTGATCGATGATGAAGATCTATATTGTAAAAAAACGGGTCTTTCCTTGTGAAGTGCATCAACTCCTTACAAAGCACAACAATTTACTGTTCAGTGCACACCCACAGTTTATTTATTTACACAAAGTGACGAGTGTTGACAGTGTTCATCTATCATTTCTTATCTCCCTTGTCATCTATATCATCTTCATCAATCTGTGAAGAAAAAGATAAAAAACATATAATTCACATTAAAACTACAATGCAACGTTTTCCTACGATGTCATCAACGTGAGTGAGTGACAGAATATAGTTTTGTGCCACGCAATCATGGCAATAGTATTTTATGTAACGCCGCACTCAGCAATATTCCAGTTAGGACAGCGTTCAGTAAATAATTCATTCTGGATCAGACAACCCAGTGATTGACATAATGAGCATCTTCCAATGTAATTAGGATGCGATGACCAGATAATATCACATCTAAATCACTGTAAATAATCAAGTGGTTGATGTGATGAGCAACATTCCGTGCTAGGGGTACAATAACGAGCAATCATCCAAGTTGGATCACCTGGTCCAGATCTGGCAACCAGTAGGGATTGGTATTGGAGGTTCTTAAAGCATATTACAAAATATCTGATGTACAAGGTTGTACTGTGATACGTATCACAATCAGCGTCAGAAATTGGCACTAGTCCTATAGTCCTTGCCAAACTGCCCAATAGTTAAGGTATCATAAGGTCTAGTAGAAATTTGCCCTTTTTAAGGGATTTGCTATATGTTATCATTATAAGGACTAGTAGACGAAAACTGTTAGTTTCTAACCCTGACAATATATTGTATAATTCTAAATTTTGAATTCAGAAACAATTTGAAACACCAGTGCATGAATTGAAGTTCATAGATGGAACAAAACAAGATGCTGGTACAACAGAATGCTCACTCATTCAATAAATATGCACGGATGTATGTTCCAGATGCATGATCCGGATATTTGATAAGTGTATAACATCAAACAAATGATAAAAATTTCTATTTGAAATCACCTGATACACCAAGCATTAAGAAATGGTATTGTGATATGTATTGTGGAAAGAATGAACCTCAATTTACTGATATACCAGTAACACTGCACACTATTAACGACCTGTACAGGTTATAATTATATGGACTCATGAGGTCCAACAAGTATTCTATCTTTGTCCACCGTTATTGACCTGATCAGTAACAGAACATAAGAGCGCATTACTGGCGCCGAGGTTACCTGTTTCCATTTCTCTGGGAGGATGTCCCACAGATCGTCCTTAACATCACCCTGGATGACAATCTCATCCTCGCCCATCACTGACGACCCACAGGAAAACTTGGTGGCGAAGAACTTGCAGGCATCCTTCAGGTCAATTTCTGTACAAAAATATCAGAGAACTTGCTTAACGGCCCTTACGTCGTAGCGCTAAGATCGCTTTGTGAAACGGTGCATGGCTGTCATTTTTCAAATCTGATCTTTCTGTCACAAATGATATTACTCAGGGATTTCACAATTCACTGATGTAGTGATATATTACGATTGTATTAGGCATATTGTGACACCCCTGGTATTAACACAGACAAGGACAGATCAAAAGTATAGACTGGATCATAAAATACTGAAACTGACTGAAAGACGTAAAGCTTGTTTGGACAAATGTGATGTACATTATTTGTGATATTTTCAAAAACACTGAATTCCATATATATGTGTGGAACAAGTGATTGTTGTTGCCTTAAACAATCTCAAATGTTGTTGAACAGACAGAACATCATGATGTCTATTCCAAAGGGAGGTAATCCAGGTATTACTGTGGACACACTGTGTCTCTGATGGCATATTTTTATCCGGAAGTAAAAACATGTTCCTGGAAACTTTTCAATTTCCCGTCGTGATTTCAAAACATTGATTGCAGAATACGAAATATTAAACCCAGATTTTGAGACCTTCCTCTTATAATCTGAATATCACATCTGACTGTCTCTACATTTTCAGTGATCAGGAACCACTCAAAGAAAACACTGTATGCTTTGATGCAGGTTGCATGCATGTGCAGTCATTAGGGCTGAAGTTTTAGCTTTGTTAAAACATATATAAGTCGGAAGGAACATGTTCATAATCAAGAAGAAATGTGAACAAGAGACTTAAAATTGTCATGTCACCATGTAGTTATATAGTGATTCTTTGTCATGAAACAATATATCACGTGACTAACCACGGGTCTGGGTAGTCCTGTGGGTACCCGAGTCCTACTCAGTACCCACCCGACCCAAGTACCCGAATTACCCGTCCCAGCACTAGCAGTCATACACTTTTTAACCAGTACAGATGTCTCACCCCTCCTTTTGTTTGGATACATTTGTTGAAGCTGTTATTATAAATGTGTTTTCAAATCTGAAAAACAATAATAGCCAAAATATCCTAGTACAGATTCTGATTAAAGCATTAATGAAGCAGCATTACAGTTGATGCCGTGCTGACTCTTTGTGGCAGGTAAGACAACTGGGTAATGAACAATCAATTGCTTTATGCTTAGTAGAAAGACTCTTAAGAATTACCTATTTGTTTCCATGGAAACACAAGAAATAAAAAAAAGAAAGAAAAAAATGAAAAAGCAATAGTTAAGCATGTGGTCATTTCATATGTGTAGTATTCATTATTTTGAGAGTTATGGCTCAGGAACAAAGCCTAGAGTATTTGAGACTAAATCAAAAATTGTTTACAAGGAAACGTGGCAGCCAAAAAATTCTGAAAATGTTAAAATAGCAAAAGGCAACCCATTAAGCCAATGAGCAATCCCTATGCCAAGTTTCATTGAAATATGTTGAAAGGTTTTCAAGTTATTGCCCAGAATCAAACCCTACCCGCCTTTGATACTTAAGTAGAAATTGTTGCCATGGAAACATAAGAAAATAAAATTTAGAATAATTTCAAAATAGCAAAAGACACCAGTTAAACTGATGAGTAATGCATATGTTAATTTTCTTATAGATCTATATAAGACATAACTTGCCAATGACAAGAAAGCCTTTTATTCAGTGAGGGACACCTAAGTCATAAATAGATTGGACAGAACTCCCACATTTTGTAAAGTAAATCA